ATCTGTTGTGCTATCAATTATGATTACTGCTGTTAATCTTGCCTAAAGATCCCATGCAATGTAGTGCAATAGATTTCTTACAATGGATAAATTCAAAGTCAGATTAAGTTCTTGACACTGAGCTAAGAAAAGAAAGGAACTCATACAAGAGTCACAAAATTCTTTGTCAGACATCTGTGTTATCATGTGTTAGCTCTAATGGTAGTATTACTGAAAGAATACAAAGCATGCAAGACTGGCATGTGGGTCAGCTGTGTTTTCCAATGACATAAACGTTTAAACGTGACTGGTTCTTGCTTACTCAATCTGAAGGAATGGGACCCATCAGAGTTTTAAAAAAAGGTTTGCACACTTTTCATTGTAAAAAATGATGGGGAAAAATTCCACTGACATGGATTTTTTGGAAGCACCAATATACCCCAAGAAACCTGTCTATAACACTGTTCCTTTAACATGAAAGACAAACATTTGTTGACATTTACAAAACCTAAATGATGTCATGGCAGATTAATTTCCTCATAAATTTTAGAAGATAACTTTTAAAAATGTAAGACTGGGAGTTCAGCAATATCCAGCCTCACAAATGTAATTTAACCAAGCCATGAAGAGGCTAACTATTGTGGCTCTTAATGTGAGTTTGTCCAGACCAAAGGTCATTGATAGATGTAGTCTGATGATTTGAAATGAAGCCTGCACAAGGCTTACGTTTTGTTAACAAAGCGAATGCTCACCTGACCAGCTTTACAAGCTCTCTCTCACCGCTCAACTTAACAGCCAAAAGAGCCGGTTTGACTGGAAGAACATCTAGACTATCGGCCCAGCCTTTCAGATCATCTAACTGCTAGTGAGGTAATGTGAGCAGAGTGCTAGGTTAACACATCAACATCCGCTTCCACAGACTTAGACAATGATATCTATAAGAGCTCTCATGAAACCGAGCGCTGAAGATTAACATAATCTCTGTTTAATCTTTAAGGAAATGGCGTATTGCTACAATTATTTCCGCCAAGTCTTTAAACTCAGTGCCATTCAAAAAGAAGGGATTGTAAATGTCATAATGTAGATTTTTATGACAGCTGATGATGTATGGAAAAACCTGTATTCATACAATATATACACTAGTGTTCGGGGTTGGTAAGATTTTTTTAATGTTTTTGAAAGAAGTTTCTTATGCTCACCAAGGCTGCATTTATTTGATCGAAAACACAGTAAAAACAGTAAAAAAAAATATATATTCTTACAGTTTTCAGTGTCACTCTTCAGATTCTTCAGAAATCATGCTAATTTGGTGTTCAAATTAAATGGAATTTTAACGTTTAAAGGCCCGCTTACACCAAGGACGATAACTATAACGCTAATGATAAAGATATAGTTCTAAAAATCGTTCTTAATATAAAAGAACAGCAGAGTCCACACCACAACTTTAATGGCACAAAGAAAAAAAATGGTTGGAATCACTTTCAGACCAATTTTTTTTTAGCCAATCAGAATCTATCCTGTTTTAAAGAGCTCAAGCATTTAAAGCACCAGGCGACAAAACAGCATGCATGGCACACTTAGAAAAATAATGTAATGCATTCTTGGTTACAGGATTTTTTGATGAATAGAAAGTTCAAAAGAACATCATTTATTTGAAATCTAATTTTTGTCTCTCTCTCTCTCTCTCTCTCTATATATATATATATATAATTAATATATTAAAGAAAATGATGTCAAGACAACCTGTTATTCTCATTTTATTAGAATGAGTAATCGGAGTCATCTTTCTCTATGGTCACTGTCTGACCTAATATCACAAAAATGGTTGCTTATTCCTTCTCCACTGTTTACAGGCACTTGGCAGTAGCAAACTTGAGAACTTAATTTAAGAGGATATCAGGTGGATATTTCTAGGTGAAAGTTTACAGGGAGGCAGATGAAAAGCACACATTTCAAAACAACCTCAGGGAAAGAGAGAGGCTGAGTACCTGACTGAAGCTGAAAAAAAGACAATATTTGATATAGCTGACATGCTTGAAACTTTAACAAATAGGCTAAATAGGTAAATTGGCAAGGCAAAAGACGCAGCCACATTCCCATGGGTCGGTTCAGGTGACAATGCACAGCCAAAACACCTGTCCTAAAGTTTCAGCACACGTTTATCAAGAGAAGCTAGAGAGTTTAGAACCAAGATTCAAATGAAAACTTGAGGCTGAAGGGGTGGTCTTTCTGGTTGAAGTTCCAGTTACAGTTTTGTTATTCAGAGAGGTATGGGGGATGGAGAGCATTGAAAAAGCACAGCAGTATAGCTTCCTGAGTAGAAATATCAATCTTTCTCCTTTTAAAGGCTTTATAATGCCCTCTTGAATTTATTTTACATCCTGATTTACTTCTGAACAAGTTCACATTAGCTGCTTTTGCATATCAAAAGTCAGATTCAGTTAGATTTTCCAGATTGTGTTGCTCAGCACTATTTGCATATACTATTACACAATAGACAAAGCACACAAACATAGTTTAGGGAGGGTTTATGTCGCTTCCTGGTATATAAGTACAACCAACTTACAAGTTAGCAACTGCACACACACACAAAAAAAAAATTGTGGCCAATGGCAAAAAGATTACAGCTGGAGGAGGGATTCACTTCAGCGGTCCATATTCTATCACATGGGTGTTTTTGTGTTGCCTCATGGCCTGTGAATGTTACACCTTAGCACATAGTAAAAGCCCACAGGGAGGCAAAGTGGTGCTGGAAGGGGAACTCCCATCACAGCGGGGTTCCTGCACCCTTCCCACACAACTTTTCCCTCCAAAAAACAGCCCATCCTTCGGGCAATCAGATGTAGCCATTCAATTCAGCTGACGAGGGGTCTCTGTTGAAATAGTTTAAGTGGTATGTACATTAAAACAGTCTCACAAGAGGGTAAGATCAACATCCTTTGCTTGTAAAAGGCCAAAACAGAGTCCTTAAGAAGGCTTCCTCCCACTTGAGCTGAAAATGCCAAGTTTTATCACTTGAGTACTTTAATTTATAAACCAATGGAGCTCACGTGCCTCTGGAGTGTTTATGTATACAAAAATATATAACCGTGGTTAACGTCATTTAACCGCATAAGGAGGACACAGTATAAACACATCAATCCGAGGAGCTAAACACCCTGATATTTTATTGTTATATAGAGTTTAATTAATTGGAAAAATGCTGATGGTGGACAGCTTGTTTATGATGTGCTCCGCTGGGTGGCTGGAGGGTGTAGGACGGCCAAACCCCCACCGAGCAGAGTTCCTGGGAGGTTCGCACCTCCGGGAGGGATGATTATCCTGTCAGGAGCATCTTCACAGCAACCTAACAGGATCATTTTAAACCCTTCAGTTGTTTTCACAGCCTCTATGGGAACGGTCATTCCAAATGGTCAGAGGGGAATGAAGCAATGCTACATGGGAAACAGTATTTGAATAACAACAAGATCTCTGAACTCTGACCTTTAGGTTCTATTCGGGCTCAAGCAGGACTTCAATACGAGTTAAGCCTCATCGACTGCATTTGTAGCATAATGTTAATATTCGTAAAAAAATATTTTGAGACTTCCTTATTTTTTCTAAAAAAAAAACAAGGTTACAATGAGACAAAAGAAGCGGAAAATAAGAAGCAGCAAAAGGGGCCAATTTATGCAGGATTTAAAAAGAGATTCAAAGTTTATATTTTTATAAAAATCACTTACATTATTTCTGGTTAAAACTTATTTGAGCTGTAAAGCTGTTCTAGTCATTTTTATGGTTTTATGTTGCTGTGCAGGGAACAAAGTTGTAAACTGGATATTCACTACCGTTCAAAAGTTTGGGGTCAGTTATATTTCAAGATATTTTTTAAAAGGAATTAATACTTTTAATCAGCAAGGATGCATTACATTGATCTAAAGTGTCAGTAAAGACACTTTGTTGCAAAAAAATCTATTTCAATTATATACTAAAATAATTTATCAAAATAATTGAGCAAAATAATTCATCACATTTTCCACAAAAATATTAAGCAGCACAACTGTTTTCAAGATTAATAATACGAAGAAATGTTTCTAGAACACCAAATCAGCATTTTAGAATGGTTTCTGGTTATGTTGCTTAATGTGACACTGAAGACTAAAATTTAGCTTTGCCATCACAGAAAAAAAAAAACATTTTACAATATATGAAAATAGAGAACAGTTATGTAAAATTGTAATAAAAAAAATCACAATATAACTGTTTCAAAAGCATTCGTATAACTTCAGACAGAAAAGTAAGCATTTTTTTTAGTCATGTTAACACAAATATTGTTCACATCTTGTGGCTATACTATAGTTACATTTTCACTTAATTCCATTGTAAGGGGGGGCCTCACCAGATTGCCTCACTAACTCAGATTTTAGCTTTCTTTTGTTGAAATTATTTTCTGTGCCAATCAACACACATGCTGTCATTTAGGTACTGAACCCAGAGTATTCATTTAAGCAAAGGTTAGAGGGGAATCTGTGTTCTTAATCATTGTTGATAGTTGCTTTCAAAAGTGAAGGGAATGTTTCACTGTGTGTAAACACAAAGCAGCATGAACTCAAATAAATATGGGTGGTTTCTCTTTCTTTTTCCCAAACGGGTAAACTCAAATAACTCTTAACCCTTGTCTATGCAACAGGCAGCGAGTTCCTATAAGGAAATTGCAGACTATTTAAATAACACAGAGGTGGCATGGAAAACATTTCCTCAGAATATGTAACGGTTAGTGGAATCATAAGAAAAGGTAAACACAGCAACAAGAACAAAAAAAAAAAATAGTTTTGTGGTCCATAAAACAACAGAAGACAGTAAGATCTAGTGTGATGGATGTTCACAACAGCTGTGCCCCAGAAATACTATGAAACTGATATTGCAAAAAAGGTTCACTTGCCTTCTGTTGTCTGACCTCTAGAAAGCATTTACTCTGTACAGGAAACCGCAGTATACATTTCCACTTGGTATTTACAGTATTTAAACAATTTAAAAAAAAATTGACACCAATAAAATAATTGATTCAACTATGTAATTTATAAGAAAAAAATCATCAACAAGTAACTCAGAAGCTTGGTGGTGCTCTGAATTCTGCAAAAAGAGCTCGGATAAAATAAACTCACTCCATCCAGTTAGAGTGAGTTGAACCTGTATGCTAGCTCTCAGACATAAACTGCTTTGGATAACAAGATATCCTGACAAAAACTGGAACACAATCAAATGCTGACCCGCCAAAAAGCGAATGAGATGGATTAGAATAATCCCTCAAGTGACCCACAACAATGGTGGCCAAATAAGATCTGCTTTAATAGCTGAATAATGCATTGATTCTCTATACTTCTTTAAAATAAAATCTCTGTATGGTTTTTATTCATCAATCAAATCAGTATTTGAAATTATAATTGAATTAAAACAGCTTTTATGTTGACTCTTTAATATAAACATTTATTAAAACCAAACAAAAATGAATAATTCAAATGTCATATAACGGTAACATTTTACAATAAGGTCATATTTGTTAATGCATTGACTAACAAAGTAACAATGAGCAATATATTTTTACAGTATTTATTAACCTTTGTTAAAGTTTGTTTATAAAAATACAGCTGTTCATTGTTCATGTTAGTTCACAGTCCATTAACTAATGGTAACAAATCCAACTTTTGATTTAAAAAAATATATAAGTAAATGTTGACATTAACATTAACTAAGGTTAATAAATGGTGTAGAAGTATTGCTCATTGTTAGTTCATGTTGACTAATGCAGTTAACTAACGTCAACAAATGAAACCTTATTGTACCAAATAGGAAATCATTAATATTTAATAAACTTATGTTGTGTCAGTTTCCAAAAATTGGCACACATGTCCCCCTAGTGGCTATTTAAGGTCAGAAACAGTGAGGAAAAACCAATGGATATAATATTAACTGCAACATTAATATAGAAAAATAATAAAGGCAGTGAGAAATACAAAATGTCTGATCATAAAATAATGTTTTTAAATGAGTTGAGACAACTGTAACCACTAAGTTTGTGGATGGAAAATATATCTAACAAACTACTATATGTAACAGAAAGATGTAGTGTAGTTAATAATACAAATACTACAAACAATACGCTTATGGTACATTCTGTGGTTTTCCCATCTTTATCCTGTTTCAAAGGAAGACTCTGGTGAGTAAAAGAAATAGAGCCATAAAACATATATAGACACAGACAGAACTACGCCAGTTATGTAAAACATGTATAATATGTATGCACCATTTCCTCTGCGTCATCTGGTCTCTGCTAAAATCTCTTGACAGCTCCTGTAGACTTGAACCAAACAATTCAGCCGAGGCTTTGAACTCTGACGGAAGAATGCAACGTGTTAATCTGAATGAATGAATGGGGCATTTATATATGACATGCTATCATACAGAGTGATTCCTATACAGCTGTTTCATACCTGGAATAGAGGGACGACGCTTGTCACAGTCTCAGGCTCTGCCGGGTCCTTGATCAGAATGCACAGATAGTATATGATGCTGTGCTGAGGTGGAAACATACAAGGAGTGATTATTTTTTACATGATTTTGATTTCTAGATTACAAAGTCCATCATGCACGAGAGTCAAATAGTTTGTTTACCATATAAACGGCCTCGTTGATGACAATGTCTTTCAGTTTGCTCATCTCAATGAAGGTCGTGCTTTCTCGTCCAGATGCGAAAGATGAAGACAGTTGGATGCCGAGGGAGCCGATTATAAGAAGAGTCTCATGGTCCACCTTTACAAAATGAATGTGAATCATCATCCCAGCCAGCGTGAGGATGATGGCACTCGACAGGACAGCAGTGTTCTAGGCATTAATAAAAGTCAACAAAAGTCAGTATAATAATCTCATTTTAGTATTATAAAATTAAATATGCTTACGAGTTCATATTATTTGCATTATAAAACGTTCTTACCTCGGTGAAGAAAAATATAGCATAAGCAAATAACCATATAAAGCAAGTGCACACCATCACCTTGCGCAAGGACAGTTTCGGTGAGGTGACAGTAAACTCTCTGCAGAAACCAGAGTGAGTTTGGCAGTCTAAAGAAATCGAGTTGCCATTTATGTCTGTGAACTCTTCCCCAGCCATAGTTATCTCGCTGTCAGAATATTATGTGAATGAGGACTTGAGTTTAACCAGCTTTGTTTCATTTGTCAACAGACACTGAAATCTTCTTCTTACAGTATGGCGGTGGCAACTTAATATAAAGATGCATTTCCGCCACCTACTGGACTGGGGTTTGGAGGAGAATTGCGGTTGACCTTAATTGTTATTTTAGTTATAATGGGCCTTTTTTTATGGTAGATGGGCCTATTATTTGATTTTACGTGAATGAAAATGAGGCTGAGGAAGAGACGGGCAGTTAATTGGGTTGTAGCAAGGATCTAAATTACCTTTAGATCATGGTTGTAATGTAGCTATTGTGGGTGTCAACCATTTCTTTAAAATACGTTTCCAAAATAAATAAATAATAATAAAAATAACTTGTGAACAAGATTTATGTAGGCTATATACATGTTCTATAGGCTATCATGTTGAATTTTCACATCCAACACAATAATGATTTGAATGTCTGTATGTCTGACCCAGTGGCGTAGGTTTGATTTTGAAATTGGTGGGGACGGGGACATCAATATATATATATATTTTAAGTTTTGATCAAAATTATTGCTAGGGATATATCAGTGTTACTGGATATTGGTAGGGACACGTCCCTAGCGTCCCTACTAAATTCTACGCCCCTGGTCTGACCCTCAGATCCTCACTTTTCATTAGTGGAAAATGTAAATGTTGTCTACCCTGAACATACTGACTTATAACTAGTGATGAAAAGTGACTGAACATGATCCTTGTGAAAAAGAGAAGGCACTTTACACTTTAGCATAGCTAATTTGACATATTACGAAAATAATTCTCTTTATAAATTAGAACTTACTTTATACATAATTTCATATTTACTTCTATTGTTTTCGAAATATGGTTAACATGTACGGAAAAATGTACTGACATGACATGCATTTATTGTACACTTAAATATACTTTAATTTAAATTCTAATGACACATCATGTATTTAAATATAACTAGGCTATAGGCCTCAGATAAAGAAGTTGCAATTTAGAACATTTACAAATAAAGCAATCATAATCATGAACGTGTTTTAGAATGTTAGTCAACACATCAAAACAAGTGTGCTTTTATAAAGTCCAATAAAAGATATTAAACACAATCATTTAAAAATGTAGGCTACTTAAACCGTTTAATTTGACATTTTTTAAAAGGTGTACTTCAGTATGATAAATTACACTAAAGTGGGCTGTAATTAATATTATATTACCTGCAAGAATAGTTTATTTAATATGTGTAGGCTATGTAATGTACACACACACACACACACACACAAATACAATTAGGCTGTGCACTTCTTTTTCAGATATGAATGCACAATGTTATTATTCTGTCGTCTCATATGTTCCCAAAAAAAATCTTGTTCTTTTTTATCATACATCTTATATCTGTCGACCTCTCCTTATCCTAACACTTAAACTGAAATTGAAATTGAATTCATGTCATGATAAGTGTAATAAATGTTGCTTGTAGAGAATGGACTACATTTCCCATCTAGCTTTGCGTTTGGTAACCTTCGACTGCAGCTACAGTGAAAACAAGCCGATCAGCTGATCTGACCTGGCAACAACATTCACCCGAATCTACCGGGGAGTGGAATCGTTTTACAAGCTGGTGGGGAAAAAACAGTTATCTTGACATTAACCGGCTTATTAATTTGTGTTTATCAAAGAGTCGTTGTCGTGTGCGATGTTGCAGGGAATTCAGCGGCTTATTTGATGAAGACTGCGGTGTGATTCTGGCTCGAAATCAGCTTGTTTTGTTCGGTCAAAGCTGTGTTGATCAATCTGTTGTTGGGTGAACTTACTTTAAGGACAGTCTGTACGATACTAAATAATCATTAATTCAGCTGCAGAAATCATATTTCTAACCCCCTAGTATCTGTTGTCTTTGAAATTGGAGGATATTTTATAGACACGTATGCTAATCTTAGTTAGCTTGAGTAACAAAAGCCCTGGACGATAACAATACTCGAATGTAGCTGTTTTCTTAGTGTTTACGTCTGTCAATAAATACATTTCGATTGTAGTTTGTGAGTTTAGACACTTTAGACTGCTTGGTCACTTTTACATCAGCCAGAAAGCTAGACTTTAGTCTGACTTAGTGCCAGTGCTATACGGATGTCAACTGATCTATTTATAGTTCATATTGAATATTTGATTTTAAGCCAGTGTCATAATTTGACAACACATTTAGAATTCCAATGAAATTCAAGGCAACCGAGTAAGATATTTCGTTTAAGAAGAACTCAAATGCATCATTCATGAGGTATAATATATCATATCTCTTGTTGATTGTACATTTAGGTTGGTCTCTGCTGTAAGTTAGTTGGTTCAACTTTCTGAGGGATAACCAGTCGGTATATTTACAGAGAGCTTTTAGTACTTTAAATTCGGTTGTTTCATTTCGGTGTGCTAAGTTACCTCGCTATTATATTTAGACGTATAATGAGCGGTCAGGGCTCTCCAGCGGAGAAGGGGCTGAACGGTGTCCTGGTTTGTCAGGAGAGTTACGCCTGCGGTGGCTCTGACGAGGCCGCCTTCGAGTGCGATGAATGTGGCAGCTTGCAGTGCATGCGCTGCGAGCTGGAGCTCCACCGCCAGGAGCGCATGAGGAACCACGACAGGATCCGAATCGCACCCGGCCACGTACCCTACTGCGATTCATGTAAAGGGGACGGCGGGGTTCCGAACGGGGGTCGGCTGAGAGCAGTGGTTCGCTGTCAGGGATGTAAAATCAACCTATGTTTGGACTGTCAAAAGCGGACTCACAGCGGGGTCAGTAAAAGAAAGCACCCTACCACTGCCTACCCTCCCTGTAAACCCGCGGAGAAGAACTGCAGTACTGGGGATGAACAGCTGGATGCGTTGAAAGCTAAACTGGAGAAAGTCATCAGCTTTCTTCTGGTGGATGAAAAGGAAGACATGCAGGTAAGTAATTTGTTAGAGGCTGCTCCAAGTGGTACTTGACTGCAGAATCAAGTGACGTCCAGCTCCTCCTCTCTGGACGTCTAATGGGGTGGAGGGATAGAGGTGTAGGTAGGGTTTTATAGGGTTAGGGATGGGTGTGGTTGGATATTCTAGCTCCACCCATTAGGCCCAAATAAAGTGGTGCGGGTATGACGTCACTTTGTAGGCCAACCGGCAGTTAGCATCACGCTGTCCTTTTGTCCATGACAACTTTTATGAATTTTGAAGCCCAAATGCAGTCGCCAGAAGTAAAAAGCTAAAGGTAGGCTATAAACTCTACACCACGGTCCCATGAATTCAACACCACCACCAAGCTTACGATAACTCTTTCAGTTCTCCCAGAACGTTTGAGTTAGAATAGTTTGTAAAAGCACAATTATAACCATAACGATGCTGTATAAGCGAACTGAGCTGACCTATTCGGCGTCATGACGTTTAATCTCCTCGACAGCCTTTGTAGTCCCATTTAGCCATTTGTTAGCAACCGCCTTATTCAAGGCACATAACAGCTTAAAAAAAAAATCACGAGTGGGGGAATATTGATGTATTTTATGTTGTAGAATAAAACGTGGAAGTACCTTGAGCTTGTGTTCACCACAGACCTTATTTCAGCCATTTAACCAAAACCCCATTCAAAAAAGACTCCAGGATGATAATCACTGCAGAGGAAATGGGTGGAGCTTAAGTCTAGCTCTGCCTCGCTACACGTCAGTGAGGAGTAAAGAATGTAATTTGGGCCTAATGGGTGGAGCTAGAATACCAACAACACCTAAACCCTGTGTTATGCTTCTGCGTCGAATCGACGGCGTACCCCCGCAGACCCCTCTCCGACCCCTCCGCCGTAGCTCGACGTGCACCCCCAAAAAAAATTTAGCTACGCGTCGAGGCGACGCAGACCGCAAGGGCTGTGATTGGTCAGGTTATACATCAGTTCCGGAGTGTAGCTTTTCCGGTTTCCCCCTACCGCTATACCGCCATTTTTAAAGTGACAACTGCACTTTTTGTTTCAACGATGGATCAAGTTGAGGAACGTTTGATTCTTCTGCGATTAAACATTTGCAATAAAATCATTTGTTGTTCAACGTCGATTAGCTCCAGCTGCAACAACATTCTCTCTCTTTCGCTCGCCATTTGGAAATGAAAAAGCGGAACCGGCGCACGGAACCAAAACAAACTAGCAAAGAGATTCGCGAACCACACACCCCCCTAGCGTTCTGGCGGTGAAATGCACCGCGATGCAACGCAACCTGACACAGAACCATAAAACGGCCACGACGCCGTAGGAGTGACGGCGTAGCTACGCCATGGAGTTGACGCAGAAGCATAATGAGGCCTTAACCCTACCAACAACACCCTAACCCTACCCACAACTCTATCCCTCCATCCCATAAAGCTAGTGTTATACTTTACGCATCCGCAAGGGTCCGCGTGATGTAAAAATCGTCATCGGAGGGTGTAAGCAGAGGCTCTTTGCGGACAGCCGCGTGCCTCCCATTTTTTGTGACCGGTCACCGCACGGACATGTACGCGCGGTCACTAGGCTGCAAAAACTCCAACTGCGCCGATCTAATGCGCATGTGCAGAACACGTCCACCGAGCGGACCCCAGCACTTTTTAGTAGTATAAATACAAGTAGTTTGCATCTGTGCTGTCCGTGTACGCGTCCAAACTGGAGTAGAACCGAGGCTTGAGACATCCAGAGAGGTGGAGCTGGACGTCATTTGACTCTGCAGTGAGCATCACTCGCATTTTGTTTAACTTATTTGTATTTTACAAGTATGTGTCCTTTTTATGCAACAACAGTCATCCTCAAATTTGATTTGTGTCTTAATTGAAAATTAAAGGAACTAATGACACATGGATTTGGACTACTGTAAGCGTTTTTCGTAATTGAAAATTTGTATTTGTTAATAATGACCAATAAAAGTCCTTTTTCGATTTTCCAAATTTTATTTAATTGAATATTAAAACAACGAATGATACACAGACAATGGTCACTTGGAGCAAGGATTCTCTCACTAGTTAGTTTGGAGTGGGAAGTGGAAATCATGGAGCGGAGTAATTACAGAACGCCTTGAGCAGTCCCGGGCACCAAAGTTGAAATCTGG